CTCTTAAAGTGTATGACAGCATTGGAGGTAAAAACTGGACTTGGTCTGCTGCCCATATAAGAAAAACTATCAAAAACTATTTCATTATGGTAGTAGGCAGAATTGTGTCATCTTCATTTAGAATACCGCAACATTTTTATAAAAGCACTCTATGAAAAAAAAATGCTTCACGTTCAAAATGTTGGTTAAACTAAGCCTTGTTAATTCCCCTCCTAAGCAGCTCACTCCACCTGTGGACTCTGCCCTTGACTAGGCGCCTTTTCCTTGCTGTCACCTTCTATAACCCCAGACTGCCCCACCTGTCTCCCGGTCTATTCGCTACATGACCTCCAGGTGGTCTTTTACACACAGGGTAGACCATACCACCACACCCCTGCCCAGCTCCATGGCTTCCCGTCACACACACAATAAAATCTGGGTATCCAGCGTGGCTCACAAAGCTTCTCATGCCATATCCACCGTGCAAATTTGAATTCCCCCAAAAGCAAAGCCTGAGGCAAGGATGTGGGTGCTGGGACTTTGGAGTCAGAGGAAAGAGAGCGAAACAGGAAAGCAGAGAAGTCAATGGCAGGTGCACTGCTGAGCTGGTCACAGATGTGGTGTCCCTCCAAAAGACAGGCGGTGGGACATATGTCACCAGCTCTTCTCCCCCATTGGATGAGGATATGGCTGCTACCTCAGGAGCATTGATTCCCACCATAAATAAATACACACACACACACACACACAAACACACAAACACACATGCATATACATGTACATGTATATGTAAATTTATGCATATGTGTGTGTATATATATATTCCATCATGGAATATTATTCATCCATGAGAAAGGAGGACATCCTCCCATTTGTGACCTTGAGGACATTATGTTAAGTGAGATAAATCAGACAGAGAAAGGCAAATACTTATACAGCAGACCCTTGAATAATTTTGTTCAACAGTGTTTTGTTACAACATTGATGAAATAAAAAAAGATTCCTGGCCAGGGCCACTGTCTGTGTGCAGTATGCATGTNGTTGCAGTGGGCTGCTATGAGCTACCATGAGTGACTGGCAGCCAGTGTGAGCTGCCGTGAGTGGCCGTCCAATGGCCGGCAACCAATCTGCCTCAGCCAGGAAACAGCACAATGATCACAATACCAACATGGGCCAGTGAAGCGACGTTCTCCACAACTAGACTGAAGAACAAAAGAACAGCAACTTGTCTGTTCCTTTCCCCATTTTCCCAACGCTGTTCCCTCCCCCAATTCCCCAATAAAATCTTTAAAAAAGAATCCTGCTTCACTAAGGGCTAGAATAATAGTAACATTCAGAGAAAAGCAGACCATAGGGAGAGAAAGTAGGTTTCAACAGAGGAATAAATTATATTTCTTCCAGTTTTGGATTTTGCATGTTCACACATTTTGTACGTAGGTATTTTAAACATGATTGAGGTCTTGAACACCTTCTATAAGCTCTTCATTTCTCCATAATTTAAGATAATTACATACTATAATCTAACTAGGGAGAGATTCCATTGCAGCTGAATAATAGAAATAAAGGAAGACATATGGAGGGGATTTACCCCAGCTATGAGAGTGGAGATGGCAGCTCAGTGGGCACAGAAGAATAGTGACAACTGGGAGCCTTCAGTTTATCACAAACCTGGGCTCCACGCACAACGCCAAAGAGCCAGTACCTGAAACATTAGTGGGGTGGTTGCAGAAGAAAAGTTCAGACTCTTGATCATGTGACTTTCAGGATCGTATTTTGACATGAATCCTTTGATGATGACCGTTTTGGCTGTTCCCTGTTCACCAATTAACAGCACAGCCTAAAACAGAAGTTGAGAAAAAAACCCAAGAAGTACAATAAAATGATTGTCATTAGGCTGAATTGTGTCCCCCCCCCCAAATTCATATGTTGAAGCCCTAACTCCCAGGACCTCAGAATGTGACTGTATTTAGAGATAGAATCTTTAAAGAGGTGATTATGTTAAAATGTGGCCATTAAGGAGGGCTGTTAACTGGCTCCTTATAAGAAGAGGAAATTTGGATACACAAAGAAACAGCAGGGATGTCTGCACACAGATAAAGACCATGGGAAGACACATTTAGAAGACAGACAGCCATCTGCAAGCCAAGGAGAGAGGCGTCAGAGAAAAACTAAACTTGCTGACACCTCAATCTTGGACTTCAAGCCTCCAGAACTGCAGAAACAGAATAAAACAAAAAAAGTCTCTTATTTAAGCCACCCAGTCTGTGGTACTTTATGTCAGCTCTAGCAAACTGATACAATAATCCGAAGAGAAGGATTTCTCTTTGGAAAAAAGAAGTGAAAATTTACTTTGTCTCAACTAATACATGAGAAATAATTAATTATGAATTAGAGCTATTCAACACTAATATTGTTAATGGGGGATAATAAAAGGAGTATACTAATGTGGGTAATATTTTCATTTATTTTAAACAGCAACATAAAATATTCTGACATAAATGTAGGATGCTTTATGTTTTCAAGTGACATTTTAAAACATGCTATTTTTAACAAAAGTTAACAAGTCATACCTTCCCCTGTTTAGCAATGGTTTTGATTAGGAAGTCAGTCCTCACGTTGTCAACGTTTGGCACCAGGATGGAGCTATATTCTGGGATGCTATCAGAAGGATACTCATATTCCTCGGTACACATGTTCCAGTGCACCCATTTACCTGAGGTGAACAGAGAACATTTACCTGTTCATCTACCTATTAATAGTTAACTAACTGTAATGAGCAGACATCCTTGACATCTCATAAAGGCATTTTCCAAAAACTCCCCATAAAATAGAGGTCATTAAAATCACAGATCTAAGCATGATTTAAGTATGTGTTAGATGACTCAAAATTTCTCTAGAAACTATTCGAAAGTGGTACTAGTGGGAAATACAAAGGCATATCTTGAAATTTTCTTTTTAAATACATAGGTTTTCAATTAAAGTATACATAACAATACAGAACACTGTGACAGTAGTATGTACCTAAAATTTTTAAATGTCAAATCTTACAAGGTTTTCATTACACACTTCCTTAACTGTATGACCAAAAATAAAAGATCCTAGGATGCTATATATAAATATTGTATATATGTACTTCATACATGTGTACATATATGTGTATATATGTACTTTATATATGCATGCACATATAAATACTTAAAGTATATATGCAGGATAGATGTATAGATACACATATATTTGGTAATATACTTCACACATTGTAATTTTTACATAAATTGTTGATTGTATCAAATGAATAGCTGAAATGAATCTGATTTGGGGATTTTTAAAAATTTGTTCTTAATTCATTAGAAGTTCAGTACATAATATATTTAACAAGGGGAAAATGTGCACTTGGGACACAATGAAAATAAATATTTAAAAAAGAACAATTAGCTTTCTTCACACATGAAAATTTTCATTTTAATTTTACAGCCAAGAGTTTTAATTATCATTTAGAAAAAAAGTATATGT